AGGGCGAGTGGCGAAGGGGCAGAGAGAGAGGGAGACACCGAATCCAAAGCAGGTTCCAGGCTCTGAGCTGTCAGTACAGATGGGCTCGAATTCATGAACCTTGAAATCATGACCTGAGCCCAAGTCAGACACTTAGCCGACTGAGCCATCCAGGCACTCCAAGTTTATTTATGTATTTTGAGAGAGAGGGAGAGAGAGCAAGGGCATGTCCACGAGCCAGGGAGGGACAGAGAGAGAGAATCCCAAGCAGATTCCACACCAGTAGCATGGAGCCCCATTCAGGGCTTGAACCCACAAACCATGAGGTTGTGCCCTCGCTGAAACCAAGAGTCAGCTTGATCAACTTAGCTTAACCAACTGAGTCATCCAGGCGGCCCTGGCAATGAGATTTTTAATTACAGAAAAATCTAGACAAAAGTTGGGTTCCATCTATATGCAGCTTTTTCTTAGAATTTTATATGAAAACCCTTCCCATATTGTTAAAAATGTTCAAAACATTTTTGATGACTGCATTATAGATTTCATCACCTCATTTTTTTAATGTTTATTTATTTTTTGAGAGAGAGAGAGAGCGAGAGAGAGACAGCGTGACTTAAGAGGGGCAGAGAAAGAAAGGGAAAGAAAGAATTCCAAGCAGGACCCACACTCAGCAGAGCCTCATGCAGGGCTTGATCTCATGATTGCGAGATCATGACCTGAAATGAAATCAAGAGTCAGATGTTTAAGGGTGCCCAGGGGTCCTCAGTTGATTGAGCATTGACTCTTGGTTTTGGCTTAGGTTATGATCTTGTAATTCATGGGATCGACCCCTGCATCGGGCTCTGTGCTGCCAGAGCGGAGCCTGCTTGGGATCCTCTCTCCCTCTCTCTGCCCCTCCACTTCTCTCTCTCTCTCTCTCTCTCTCTCTCTCAAACTAAATAAATAAACTTTAAAAAATTATTATTAAAAAAAAAAGAGTCAGACACTTAACCAACTGAGCCACTCAGGACCCCACTCTTGTAATTTTAAATTTTATTTTTATTTTTTAAATAGACTTTTTTTTTTTTTAAATTCCAGCGTGGCCAACAGGCACTGTTATATCCGTTTCAGGCGTGAATCATCATGCGCTGGTTGCGGACCTAACTGTGTACTTCGGGTTTGCGTTACCTGAGTATCGAAGTAATGCTACGGCGAGTGTTGTTGTGGGCAAATGTTTGCCTACGTCTCATATTTCTGCAGAGCGAATTCTCAGAAGTGGAAATACTGGCTTGAAAGAGGCAAACATTTTATGATTCTTGGTACACGTTGCCAAACGCTCTCCAGAAGGCTGCAGTTTTTGCTGACAGCAGCAAGCCAGAGCGAGATTCAGTAATTAAAAAAAAAAAAGTTGACGGGGTGTCTGGGTGGCTCAGTCAGTTAAGCGTCTGACTTCAGCTCAGGTCACGATCTCATGGTTAATGGGTTCGAGCCCCGCATCGGGCTCTGTGCTGACAGCTCAGAGCCTGGAGCCTGTTTCAGATTCTGTGTCTCCCTCTCTCTCTGACCCTCCCCTGCTCACGCTCTCTCTCTCTCAGAAATAAATAAAACATTAAAAAAAAGTCGCTATTCAAACGGACAACAAAATGTCTCCTTTTTCACCAGCAGTGAGTGTCTCTGAGAATTCAGGGCTTGGATGTGGTTTCCTTTCTCGCTTGTTTCACGGCTGTTTGCCACTTCTCTGCTTGTGCTCTTTTCCATCTCCTGGCTGGAATATTAATAAGAATCGATTCGTGGAAGTGCTTTCAGTTTTAAAGAGACAGCCCGGTACATTCCTGCCTTATTTCTCCCACTGCTCTTAAGCTTAGAAATCTCAGAGCTTTGAAATCCATGTACTTTTATTTCCTTCTAGGTACATGGAAGGTGTAGTTTGATTTTTAGAAATTTAATTTTTTTAAATTTAAATGTTTATTTATTTTGAGAGAGAGAGAGAGAGAGCAAGATGGGGAAGAGCCAAGAGAGAGAGGGAGAGAGAATCCCAAGCAGGCTGTGTGCACAGAGGCTGACACAGAGCTCGAACTCCCTAACCATGAGATCATGACCTGAGCTGAAATTAAGAGTTGGACGTTTAAGGGTCGCCTGGGTGGCTTAGTCGGTTGAGCGTCCGACTTTCGCTTAGGTCATGATATCGCGGTTCGTGGGTTCGAGCCCCGCGTCGGGCTCTGTGCTGACTGCCAGCTCAGAGCCTGGAGCCTATTTCAGAGTCTGTGTCTCCCTCTCTCTCTGACCCTCCCCTGCTCACGCTGTCTCTCTCTCTCTCTCCTAGAAATAAATAAAACATTAAAAAAAAAAAAAGAGTTGGACGTTTAAGTGACTGAGCCACCCAGGAGTCCCTAGATACTTTTTTTTCAATTTATTTTTAATTTATATCCAAGTTAGTTTGCATATAGTGCAATGATGATTTCAGGAGTAAAATCCAGTGATTCATTCCCTACATATATCACCCAGTGCTCATCCCAACTAGTGTCCTCCTTAATGCCCTTCACCCATTTAGCCCAGCCCCCCACCCACAGCCCCTCCACCAACCCTCAGTTTGTCCTCTATATTTGAGTCTCTTGGGGCGCCTGGGTGGCTTAGTCGGTTAAGCGTCCGACTTTCACTTAGGTCATGATCTTGCGGTTCGTGGGTTCGGGCCCCGCGTCGGGCTCTGTGCTGACTGCCAGCTCAGAGCCTGGAGCCTGTTTCAGTCTGTGACTCCCTCTCTCTCTGACCCTCCCCTGCTCACGCTGTCTCTCTCTCTCCTAGAAATAAATAAAACATTAAAAAAAAAAAATTAAGAGTCTCTTATGTTTTGTTCCCCTCTCTGTTTTTATATCATTTTTGCTTCCCTTCCCCTATGTTTGTCCGCTTTGTATCTTAATTCCACATATGAGTGAAACCATATGATATTTGTCTTTCTCTGACTTATTTCACTTAGCATAATACACTCTGGTTCCATCCATGTTGTTGCAAATGGCAAGATTTCATTCTTTTTGATTGCCAAGTAATACTCCATTGTATATATAGACCACATCTTCTTCATCCCTTCATCCATCGATGGACATTTGGGCTCTTTCTATACTTTGGCTATTGTCCATAGCGCTGCTATAAACATTGGGGTGCGTGTGCCCCTTCAGAACAGCACACCTGTATCCCTTTGATAAATACCTAGTGGTACAACTGCTGGGTCCTAGGGTAGTTCTGTTTTTAAATTTTTGAGGAACCTCCATACTGTTTTCCAGAGTGGCTGCACCAGTTTGCATTCCCACCAGCATGCAAAAGAGATGCTCTCTCTCCACATCCTCACCAACATCTGTTGTTGCCTGAGGTGTTGATGTTAGCCATTCTGACAGGTGTGAGGTGGTATCTCCTTGTGGTTTTGATTTGCATTTCCCTGATGATGAGTGGTGTTGTCATCATGTGTCTTTTGTCATGTGTCTGTTGGCCATCTGGATGTCTTCTTTGGAAAAGTATCTATTCATGTCTTGTGCCCATTCCTTCACCGGGTTATTTGTTTGGGAGATATTTAATTTTTTAAATTTTTTAAAAATGTTTTATTTATTTCTAGGAGAGAGAGACAGCATGAGCAGGGGAGGGTCAGAGAGAGAGGGAGTCACAGACTCCAAAACAGGCTCCAGGCTCTGAGCTGGCAGTCAGCACAGAGCCCGACGCAGGGCTCGAACCCACGAACCGCGAGATCATGCCCTCAGTGAAAGTCGGGCGCTTAACCGACTAAGCCACCCAGGCGCCCCTGGGAGATATTTAATTTTTTAATGTTTTAGTTTTATTTTTGAGAGAGAGAGAGTGTGAGTGGGGGAGCGGCGGGGGGGGGGGGGTGGGCAGAGGACAGAGGATCCGAAGCAGGCCCTGTGCTGACAGCAGAGATCCCGATGCGGGGCTTGAACTCTAAAACTGAAGTCAGGCGCTCAACCGACTGAGCCCCCCAGGCGCCCCTTCGATATTTAATTCTTGATGCCACCTTGTATTTATCAGCTATTGTTGCCTAACTAATTACCCCAAAACACAGTGGCTGAAAAGAGTAACAAATATTTATGATCTTCCCAGTTTCCTGTGGATCGGGAATTTAGGAGCAGTTCCGCTGGGTGGTCCTGGCAAGGGGAGTCTCAGGAGCTTAGTGTCAGATGTCACTCGGGGTTGTTGTCACCCAAAGGCTTGACGGGATTCGTTTTGAAGGTGGCTCAGTCACAGGGCTGGCAAAGTTGGCGCTGGCTGTTGGCGGGAAGGCTGAGGGCTGCTTGAACTGACTGAGCAATCCAAAACACCAGAGTGGCCAGAAGTAAGCCCGTGGGTCAAAACCCTTCCCTGCCTGTTTTTATAAATAAACGCCGATTGTCACACTGCTACGCCCCTGGGTTTCCCTGTGGCCTGTGGCTGCTGGCGCACCTGCGAGAGTGACACAACAGCAAGTCGAGTCACTGTGACAAAGATTATATGGCTCACTCCACAGAAAAGATTTACTGTCTGCGCGGCCTGGGCGGCTCAGTTGGCTCAGGTCATGATCTCATGGTTCCTGGCTTCAATCCCTGCATCAGGCTCTGCACTGACAGTGAGGAGCCTGCTTGGGATTCCCTCCCTCCCTCTCTCTCTCTCTCTCTCACTCTCTCTCTCCCCCCCCCTTCTCTCTCCCTCTGTCCCTCCCTGACTCATGCGTGCGTGCATATGCTCTCTCTCTCTCAAAATAAATTAATAAACTTTAAAAAAGGCTTTACTTTTTTAAATGTTTCTTTACTTGTTTTGAGAGAGAAAGGGAGAGAGCGTGTGCAAAAGCGAGGGAGGGGCAGAGAGAGGGAGAGAGAGAGACTCCCAAGCAGGCTCTGCTCTGTCAGCCCGGAGCCCAATGTGGGGCTGCAACTCAGGAGCTGTGAGATCATGACCTGAGCCGAAATCAAGAGTCGGATGCTTAACCAACAAAGCCACCCAGGCACCCCCCCCCCGAAAAAAAAGCTTTCTTAATTTTTTTTTTTTTTTTTTACCATCAAGCTCTGTACAGGAAAAACTTGCCCAGCCCTGCAAATGACCAAGGCAGAGGCTGCAGTGACTTTTATGACCCAGCCTTCGAACTCACCTACTGTTCTTCCACAGAAATCCACTCATCACACAAGTTACCCCACCTGTGATCTAAAATGGGAGGGACTCGAACATCAGGAGGTGACCCAAATCCCAGGGGGCCTTGTTGGAGGCTGACCCCCACGTGCCTGAGGTTTGCAGGTATCTTCCCAAAGAGGCTTGGTTGCTTGCCTATTCATTTCCCATCTTCATTACTAAAAAAATCAAAAACAAACAAAAAAACCCATTGATTTTTGTCTGGGAGAGCAATAGATCAGTTTAAAACACAAATGTCCCGGGGCGCCTGGGTGGTTTAGTCGGTTAAGCATCTGACTTTCGCTTAGGTCATGATCTCGCGGTTCGTGGGTTCGAGCCCCGCGTCGGGCTCTGTGCTGACTGCCAGCTCAGAGCCTGGAGCCTATTTCAGAGTCTGTGTCTCCCTCTCTCTCTGACCCTCCCCTGCTCACGCTGTCTCTCTCTCTCTCCTAGAAATAAATAAAACATTAAAAAAAAACAAAAAACACAAAACACAATGTCCCCAGATTCCCTTATAGCTAGAAGTGGCCACAGGATCCGTTTGTGGCCAATGAGATGCACGTGATGAGAGGGCTTCTGGAAAGCTCTTTGTTTTCTGATTGGAAGGGGAAGACTCTGCAATCCCTACTTTTGTTTGTTTATTTTACACATAATCCTTCCCTTTTCTTGCTGCCTGGGAAAACGGTCGTGATGCCTGGAAGCACAGCAGCCGCCTTGAAGCAAAGAAGACAAAAGCCACACGGCTAAAGATGATGACGGAGGGGCGCCTGGGTGCCTCAGCTGGTTGAGCGTGCGACTTGGGCTCAGGTCATGATCTCACTACTCAGGAGTTCAAGCCCCACCCCGGGCTCGCTGCTGTCACTGCCCAGCCCACGCCAGATCCTCTCATCCCCTCTCTCTGCCTCTCCCCCACTTGCACTCTCTTAAAAGTAAATAAAAATATTAAAAATAAATACATTAATATAACATAACATAATATAATGTAATACAGATGATGATGGAAAAAGACAAGGAGCCCAGGTCCCAGCAGGCATCACGGAACCACCATAGCGGTGCTGGGCTCTCCTCCTTCCAGGCTTGACCTCCTTCTATGAGGAACAGCAAATTTCTCCCTCTCTGTTTCAGCCACTTAGATTTTTTTTTCTTTTTGTCATGTATAGTGACAAGAAATTCCAGAGTGGTTCTGATGTCGTAAGGGATAAGCATCGTTTTTTCCGCCCAAGTAGTTAACTGTTTTATCACCATTTACTGATCTGTGATACCACCTCCCTTATGCAAAACTCACGCACGCACGCAGCCCGCACACACGCACGCGGCACACACACACGCACGCGGCACGCACACACGCACGCACAACTTTGGTCCTGGGATTTGGTCTCCAATCTTACTGCAAGAGCAACGTTGTTTTCACTGTTCTTGCCTTAGGTTGTGAAGGAAAGGCTTCCTGCCTCCTTTTTTTCCCTTCAATTATCTTTACCTCTTGATCCTTCTCGGGAACTTTTGAGTTGATGTGTCAATCTCCCCACGTCTCTCCCACAATATTTTAAGTCCGAGTCTGGTAGTAAAGGGCAGCTTTTTAGGTTTGGTGCAGGTCAGCTTGGTCTCACTGGATTTATTTTCTAGACTATTTATAGGGTCTGCGCTGGACAATGCCAGTCGCTGTGGTTAGTCAGGGTTACCCCGACTACCACAGCTATCTGGCTGAATTTATATAATCCTCACTGGGAGTAGGTACTATTTTTTTTCCCCATTTCACAGATGAGAACACTGAGGTCCCCAAGTTGTCCAGTGTCATGGAGCTAATAAAGGGCTGGACATGGGATTCAAACTTGGACTCCCAGCTCTGCAGGCTGTTGGAACTCCTCCATGGTCCTGCTTCCTTATGGGGTTCTTGGTGCCCCCCAAAAGGGCACTATTTCCACCTAGAGTCGACTCAAGGGGTGGCCAACAGCTTCAGCCAGTGATGGGAGGCTGCTGAACTCCCAGAAAGAGTAATTCCTGTGAACCCCCTCTGTGCCTCTGCCCCCTGTATTGTGGCCAGCACTCCCAGAGACCCGCAGAAATTCAGAATGTTCCGGGCAGAGAGAAATGTCAGGAGCCAGAAGGTAGAAACCTGTTACGTGGGTGGCAATGGCCAGAGCCACCGCCCCTGCAGAGAGACCCTCCACCCTCAGCCCCACCAGGCGGCTTCATTCAAGTTCAGTATCCCACTTCCTGTGACCTAAACCCATGAACATTTCTTTTTTAATTTTTTAAATGTTTTATTCATTTCTGAGAGAGAGCAAGAGACAGCATGAGCAGGGGTAGGGCAGAGAGAGGGAGACACAGAATCCGAAGCAGGCTCCAGGCTCTGAGCTGTCAGCACAGAGCCTGATGCAGGGCTCGAACCCACAAACTGTGAGATCATGACCTGAGCCGAAGTCAGAAGCTTAACTGCTTAACTGCTTAACCGACTGAGCCCCCAGGCGCCCCTAAACTCATTAACATTTCTATAGTCCCTCAGCTTGTCCCCTTCATTCTACACACAGCTTTGCCCAAGTCCTGAACAGGAAGCACCGAATCCATCCATTCGGGGCATCAACTGAGATTAATTGAACAGCTACTCTGTGCGAGGCGCCTGGCCAGGGATTGAGCCGTGAACGGGACGGATGAGGGCCCTGCTCCCCGGAGCTGACAGCCAGGAGGCCAGTGATGGAGAGGTCGTCTCTCTCCCTCTCTCTCTCTCTCTCTCTCTCAACAGGCTCCCCTGGGACTTTTTCCAACAGTGTATACGCGGGAGGGCTGTCTGCCGCTGGTGTCCTCCCTTGAGCTGGCTGAGTCTGGATCATTCCATCAAGCCATCCATCAGGGGGAGCGTCTGGCAGGACCTGGGATCCCCTGAGGATTGTGACTGTCGGCAGGTCGGCTGACTGCCCATCCGGTCCGGGTCTGTGCCCAGCCACGGGGCCCCCAAGGGACACAGACTCGGGCACAACGTGCTTCTCAGTCACCTGGATGGCTTTGCAGGGCTGGCCTGTCCTTTGGGCACTGTGCCCAGGGCCCACGACACTTTTAGGGGCTCATAAAAATGTTTGAAATGCATTTTTTTTTCTAAGATCAGAAACAAAAGAGGGAAGGACGGGGGCACCTGGGCGGCTCAGTTGGTTAAGCGCCCGCCTGTTGGTTTCATCTCGGGTTATGGTCCCGTGGTTCGTGGGATTGAGCCCCTGCTTGGGATTCTCTCCCTCCCTCTCTCTGCACCTCCCCCACTCATCCTCTCCCCCCTCTTCCCGCCCCTCCCCCACTCATTCTCTCCCCCTCCCCTCCCCCACTCTCTCTCTCTCACTCTCGCTCTCTCACTCTCAAATTAAATAAATAAATAAACTTAAAAAAAAAAAGAAAGAAGTGAATAGAAAATAATGGACACATAAGAATGAATCTGGTTGGGATCACATGAATTTTTTTTTTTTTAAATGTTTTTATTTATTTCTAGGAGAGAGAGAGAGACAGCGTGAGCAGGGGAGGGTCAGAGAGAGAGGGAGTCACAGACTGAAACAGGCTCCAGGCTCTGAGCTGGCAGTCAGCACAGAGCCCGACGCGGGGCTCGAACCCACGAACCGCGAGATCATGACCTAAGCGAAAGTCGGACGCTTAACCGACTAAGCCACCCAGGCGCCCCGGATCACATGAATTTTTATACCAATGTAGTTCTAATTATGATTTGCTGCATTTTTTAAATAAAGGAAGAGGCTCTTGGATGTAAAAAGTGCCTACGATCCACAGAAGTTTTACTGCCACACTGGTGCTCTCCTCCTAGCCCCACCTGTCACCCCATCCCATTAGGGAGACTGGGTCTTATCCCACCCCTGCTGAACCCTCTCATGCAGCTTCCCAGCACACTCAGTGACCACAGCCAACAAGACCCCATCACCTATTCACCCCTATGTCTCTCTATTCCAACAGCCAGAACTTCCTTGCTGTGCCTCAGACACCAAACATCACTGCTGCCTCAGGGCCTTTGCACGTCCACTTCCTTCTGCTTGGAACCCTGTTTCCTAGTTCTTATCATAGTTGACTCTTTCTCATCCTTCAGGTCTCAGCTCAAATGTCACCTCCTCTAAAAAGTCCTCCCTCGGGCGCTTGGGAGGCTTAGTCAGTTGAGCATCCGGCTTCAGCTCAGGTCACCATCTTGCAGTATTTGAGTTTGAGCCCCACATCTGGCTCACTGCTGTCAACCTGTCAGCGCAGAGCCTGCTTCGGATCCTCTGTCCCCCTCTCTCTGCCCCTCCCCTGCTTAGTCTCTCTCTCTCCTAAAACAATAAATAAAAGACATCTAAAAATTTTTAAAAGGGCCTCCTGATGCCCCCAACAGTCCAGTCACATCACTCGGTTTTAGCATCTCCACATCACTGGCTGAAATTTCCTTGTTTGCTTGTTTGATAACTGTCTCTCCTGGTTCTGGTTACCCGTTGTTACTTCATAATAAGTCACCCTGAGGCTTATTACCGTCTCTCACAATTTAGAGGGGTGGCTGGGTTCAGCTCTCGGGTCACAGTCAGGCTGGGGCTGGAGTCATTTCCAGGCTTCCTGGCTCACCTGTGTGGCGATGGGTGCTGGCTGCCGGCTGGGGGCTCGGCTGGGGCTCTCCCCTCCCCTCCCCCCACCCCCGTGGCCTCTCCCTGTGGCTTGGAGCTGGGGCTTCCTCACATCATGGCGGCTGGTTCCGGAGGGACCCGGCTGGGAGCCGCAGCACTGGGTGTGACCCAGCCTCGTGGTGTGGTGTCATTTCCCACCATGCTCTCTTGGTTAAGGAGGACACAACGTTCCGCCCAGCTTCAAGGAGCAGACCCAGACCTCAGCGCTTGGCCACGAGTGTCAAGTTCACACTGAGGAAGAGCAAGTAACATGGTAGAGATTGTTACGGCCGTTTGGGGGGTACAGTCTGTCCCATCCCCGCTGGAGCGCCGCCCCCAAGAGCACCGGGTCCTGTTCTGATTGTTCACTGCTGTGTCCTCAGCCTAGACAGTGCCTGGCTCACACTGCGGGCCACCAGCCAGTGCTTCTCCCGAAACATTCTGGAAAAATCCTGTGTTCCGAGAGCTCACAGTTATTTTGATTTTTTTTTTTCAATAGATGTTTTTGGGATGTACTCTAATTCTTTTTTAAAAATGTTTATTTATTGGAGTGCCTGGGTGGCTCC